GTCAGGTCGAGACCCCGATGAGGACGACGAGCATGCAGATGAGCTTCCCTGAGACGGTTTCTGACAGTTTGTGCAGAAATTCCTTGGTATGCAAACCGATTGTTGCAGCAGCCTGTCCCGAGTGGCTGGTCTCAGACGATCTTGGAGGTGAACATGCTGGATGTGGAGGTCCTGGGCTGGTGTGGTTACACGTGGTCACACGTGGTCTGCGGTTGTGAGGCCGGTTGGATGTACTGCCAAATTCTCTGAAACGCCTTTGGAGACGGCTTATGGTAGAGAAATGAACATTCAATTCACGGGCAACAGCTCTGGTGGACATTCCTGCTGTCAGCATGCCAATTGCATCACGCTCCCTCAAAACTTGCAACACTCTGTGGCATTGTGCTGTGTGATAAAACTGAACATTTCAGAGTGGCCTTTTATTGTGGCCAGCCTAAGGCACACCTGTGCAATAATCATGCTGTCTAATCAGCATCTTGATATGCCACACCTGTGAGGTGGGATGGATTATCTCGGCAAAGGAGAAGTGCTCACTATCACAGATTTTTTCAAATTTGTGAACAATATTTGAGAGAAATGGTTATTTTGTGTATATAGAAAATGTTTTAGATCTTTGAGTTCATCTCATGAAAAATGGGAGCAAAAACAAAAGTGTTGCATTTATATTTTTGTTCAGTGTAGAATCTGTAGTTTTGAATATCGATCTTAAGTTGGCGTGACGTTGAAGTCGTGCGACCCTGCTGTAGTTTGATTATAGCATAACGTTAGCATTTTGCTTCTGGCGATTAGATTTATGATTCGAAAACTATAAAAGTAGGGTAGACATGTGGAGATTATCCGACTGAACAAAACGTGCATTTATCAATCAGTTTTCCACAGACCTTATTTTTTACAATGTTCCAAATATCCTATGTAGAAATCCCATTGCTTTTTTGTCGAGGGACCCATTCTGGGTCGGCATACAAAAATACGTCATCTCTCCCCCCCCGCCTGAAAGGCCTCGATTGGACTCCTTTGTTTATTTGTATAACAAAGTGACATGACCATGTAACACTCGCGCCTCTATTGGCTAGCGCTCCAACACATTGTACATGAAATGCTAAGGGGCGGGACATCTCTAAGCGGTTGACCAATCACAGCAGAGCCGGCTAATCAATCAGAGCAGACTTGGCTCTGGTTCCTGAGGGTAAAAAAAGAGGTGCTTAGAAAGATAAAGCACTTTTTGAACATTACAACATGTGAAGAGTAGAAGCACAACATACACATTTGAGACCTCAAAGTGAGCATAATAAAACCCTAAAAGTATATTAAGAACGAGATGGAAATACTCAAAGTACAAGTAGGTCAAAATAGTGCAATACTTGAGTAAATGTATGTTGTTACATTGCACCACTGACTGAAATACTCATCCTGCTTCATCACTTATATCACAGAATGAAAAGGAGGAGACTCTAACGACCAATGTGTGGATTCAGATTGTGAGTTTCACTTCAATTGATACTTTTGTTTTGTTTGTGCAAATCTTTACATTTAGGTTGATTTAGCCTCGTTCCATCAGCATCTATACATGTGTCAAGTTTTTAACGTCACTGGTGACCCTTCTCTTAAATGTCATCTGCAGCAATGGAACGATTATCGCCTTATGTGGAACACATCTGACCATCACGGCATCGACACTATTCGTGTCCCATGCAACAATGTTTGGCTTCCTGACATTGTCCTTGAGAACAAGTAAGGCAGTAAGAAAGAGGAGTTTCTCTACATCAGGGGTGTCCAAACATTTTTCACTGAGAGCCACATACAGAAAGACATAAAAGGGCTTGGTCACTCACTAGAAGTGAGGTATATTGCCTTATAAGTTAACAAAATCAATCAGATGTAGGTAAATTATGCTTGATACTTGAATATGCTTTATTAGAAAAACAGCTTACATCAGAGCTCTGCATAGGGTTTCATTTATTTTGTTACAAACAGTGTTAGCAGATCATTCCTTAAAATAGGAGCCTCAGATTGATTATTAAAATGGGAAATAGGAAGGGTAGATTTCAAGATTATATGTATATAAGTTATTGGGCTTTTTTTGTATCAAATAAGATTTGTTAGAAACATGCCTTCAACTTTAATTGACTGAATTGACCCATAAATACTGTGTAATATCTGTTTCCATCTATATTTAAGAAGTAAGACGAGCACACGTTTCAGGTGTGGGTCATATTCCTTTATCCATTTTGAATTAGCTGAGGGCCGATTCAAAATAGTCAACGGGCCGTAGTTTGGACACCCCTGCTCTACATGTAGTGTCATTATACTGTACATTAACTAATCTGGTGTGAACTGCCTGTTTTTCCCTCATCATTCATCTCTGCAGCATTGATGGAAAGTTTGACGTGGCGTACTACGCCAACGTGCTGCTCTACGACAATGGTGGTATTTTCTGGCTGCCGCCCGCCATCTATCGCAGCACGTGCTCCATCGAGATCACCTACTTCCCATTTGATTATCAAAACTGCACACTAGCATTCAGGTGTGGTACAATTATATTTCAGACAACTCACGTGTTTCTTAATATGTTTATTAGAGCAGCATATAGTTTGAGTTTGGCGTCTAGGCTCGGGCCTCATCACTCCACAGATGTACATAGAACATTGAGTGATGGTTAGAAAACTATCCCCCGAGCCTACAGGTGGAAGCTGGGGTGGAAGCTGGGGTGGTGGGGGGGCAGGCGAGCAGCAGCAACATGAAACACAGCAGCAGCAACATGAACGCAGCAGCAGGAACATGAACGCAGCAATAGCAAGTGAACGCAGCAGTAGCAGCAGCAGCACCTGGCAGCTTAAATAGAGCGGCATGTTTAGGAGAATGTGTTTGGTTGGTTGTAGGAGGGAAGAGGCGCGTCACGCGTTACGGCCCATCCACACGGCGGCGTGCGTTGAAGCTTCAACACTTCTGCCCATTCACTTTGAATGGGGTGACGTCACACTTTGCCGAACTGCATTGTGGGAGCGTCGCTTCGCTTTGCTCGCGTTGCTCGCTTTAAAAGTTGAGCAATGTTCAACTTTTGAAGCTTCGACGGAAGCGTCAGCCAATCAAATCATATGCCAGTACAAGCTCTAGCCAATCAAACCGCATGCTTGTGTGTCCGGGGCGGGAGATTCATGTGATTGGTTGTTGATCGAGCTTCAGACACGCCCGCCGGCAAGCTTCAACGCACGCCGCCGTGTGGACGCTGCGTTAATGTATCATTGGTGCTCGAGTTGACTGAACTAGCTCGCAGGCTTCGCCCAACTAATTACATTTACTTTATTTATTAGTTTTATAGAGGCCAAGCCAACATTTTTAAGAGGCCTTTTGGGGTTTTCCCATTCCTGTTGTGTCCAACACATTGTACGTGATAGGCTAAGAGGCGGGACATCTCTAAGCAGTTGACCAATCACAACAGCGCCGGCCAGCTTACCAATCAAAGCAGACTGGGCTCTGGTTTCAGACAGAGGGTGAAAAGAGGTGCTGCAGCACAGGCAGTATGAGAACAATAAAGACCTTTTTGAACATTAAGCATGCAGGTCACAGTAGAGGCACAAAAAAACTAATATGAACCTGAAAATGAGCAGAATAAATGTGTGTCCTCTATAAGCCACTTTTGACATAATTGATGCACACTTTATATTGTCTGATGAGCAAAAGGTTGAATTGGCTTTCGGAAAATTACACTTAGAAACACAATAACTTATGTTTGGTAGTCACACTTTACCTCAGTGTGTGCCTGTGTGTGTCCGACAAACATTGGTTCCTACTTATGTCGATGAGAGCCTATTGGTTCTGACACATTTGTTATTTCTTCGTTTTAAAGAATAAGCCGGCTTCATGCTCATAGAACTGGAGTTTCATCCACCTAACACTATTTTCCATTGTATTTTATCCTTGTTGCCACGACACATAGATCCCAGACATACAGTGCCAATGAAGTGGTCCTCCACTTGGCTCTTGACGACACCCCCCCAAACGTCATGATTGAGTGGGTGGATATTGACCCCCAGGCTTTCACAGGTACACTACATCCACAATCAACCTATGTTGATAACACATGGTTCCTCTCCAGCTTATACCGTGTTTTTCAACCCTCAGAGAACGGCGAGTGGGCCATTGTCCATCGTCCGGCCAGGAAAATGATCTACGAGCGCTACACCCCAGATGACCTGGAGTATCAGGAGATCTTGTTCAATATTGTCATCCAAAGGAAGCCCCTCTTCTATGTCATCAACATCATCCTGCCCTGCTCCCTCATCTCCTCTCTGGTAGTGCTGGCCTACTTCCTACCTGCTCAAGGTCTGTAGAGCCATGTTCCTACTGCTATTATTACATAGAATATGATGGTGTTATAAAATATCAAGTCTCGTAATTGTACGTGCCTTTGATCTAAAAAAACTCATCGAAGTTACTCTGATACTGAACATGATAAATAAAAGGCTCCAAAGAGCTGCTTTTTGGGGGGTTTTCTATCCTCTAGTGCAGTGTTTCTCAAACTTGTTCATACCAAGGACCACTTAACCGCCGAACCGGTAAGCGGAACGAAACACACAAGAGTTAGACCTAACACACTTAGCTATTTTATCTACCTCTGGAACAAGCTAAACTAGTTATTATAAATATATTTATTCTTCACTGTCGGGTCACTCATTACTGGATCAGTGAGCTGCATGAGATACTGACAGGCTGTCAGGAGAGAGAGAGAGGGGGAGAGAGGAAAAGAGAGCGCTTCCGCTCATTTCTCCCGTGTTATTATCCAAAGTGAATGTAAACTTGAATAATGTACATAATTTGAATGTAATAATTAAGTTGATTGTTGTTTGTGGAAGCTCCAGTGAATGAGCCCCATTAACTGAGTTTAAACATCACTTTAAATGGAAGATTTAAAGTGATGTTTAAATCTTCCATTTGGGCCCCGCCCACTCGATCGGATCGGCGATCGGTATCGGCGATCGGCCCCGAAATTGGCGATCGGAGCATCCCTAAAAGTTGTATCACTAACACTTGCGCTTCTATTGGCTAGCGCTCAAACACATTGTACGTGATAGGCTAAGGGGCGGTACGTCTCTAAGCAGTTGACCAATCACAACAGAGCCGGCCAGCTAACCAATCAGAACAGACTGGGCTCTGGTTTCAGACAGAGGGTGAAAAGAGGTCACATGTCACATAGAGATACAAATATGATCCTGAAAACGAGTACAATAATTCCTCTTTGAAATTAAGTATTAAGTTGTTTATAGTCGAACATAGTATTTAGTGTAAATAAATAATCAGTAAATTACTACATACAGTCAAAAATAATCGTGCAGATTTTGTTTCAGTTAATTTTTCACATTCGTAGCAAGATATTATTATGTATGTTATATCTACTGTATGTATAAGGCCCTTTTCAAATGCTATGTAGCTTTATTTTCTGCTGAAGTGCCCGAGCAAAGAGAAAGTACTGAGAGTATTGGGACCCACAGCTATTATAATTTGTATTTTTTATTTGGTGTTGTCCTCTATTGCCACTGTTGGAAGAAGTATTTTATTCAGGTAGAAGAGCAAAAAGTTACTTAGTAAAAGTAAAAAAAGATTGGCATCAAAATATACCTAGTGTAAAATACCAAAAGTACTTTTCACAATCTGATAGATTAAATTACTGGATTGTGATTATGCGTTAATGTGTTCATCAGAGCTGGTAAATGTGGAGCTAATTTTCATTTCTTTGTATAATGCTAGATATCTTAACATAACATATTATGTATTTGTTGATTTTCATTTACTATTACATAGTAGTGTGAATCCTTGAAACAGCTGAAGTCAGATAAATGTAGCGGAGTAAAAAGTACAATATTAGTAGAAGTCTACTGTAGCATAAATTGGAAATACTCAAGTAAAGTACCTCAAGATTCTACTTAAAGGTCTCCTATTATGCTATTTTTAGGCATATATTATGGGTCTCAGATATATACAAAAAACATGTCTATGATGTGTTTTGCTCAAAATACCAAACTGATCATGCATTTTAGACATCCCTCATATCCCTCTATTTCAGGCCTGTTATGGCGCATTTCCACTACAGCGCGGAGCGCGGTTTAAGCGTTTTTGGTTGCGTTTCCACTAGGCGTAGTACTGGCTAGCGGGTACTATTTCACAGTTTTTCTGGCCCCATAAAATCGAGGTTCTTAGCGGGCCAACAACCAGGCTGAGTCGGGTTGAGGATGCTAAACTAGAGAGAGAGAATCGTTGGCAAGGGGGCTACAACTACAACAAAATGAACATATTTGACAGTGATTTAATTGTAATACACGTTTCAAAATGATGCCGAAGTAACAACATACTTGTAAGGGAAACTTCTGAAGCAATGGAGAGTCAGGACTCAGAGAGACACGAGGAGAGTTGGAGCTTTGATGTCAAACACTGGTAGTTTATTACAAGTCAACGGCCGGAGAATTCATATCACAAGTCACAGCAGCAAAAGGTTCTGACTGCACGGGTGGGTTGTCATGTCAATTCTGCCCAGCCTATCTCTCGATAGACCTTTTAACTAGTTTACAGAGAGTTAATCAGCATATTGGGGGAGGCGTAAACATCTGTGGACCTACAGGAGATATCCCCCAACTCTGGAGCTTAGAAACTAGCGTTCTCACTCTCGCAAAACCTCCCTATGCCCTGTAGGTCAAGCTGTAAAACCTAGTATCAACATACGACTGCATTATCACATTCCTTACGGAAGATATAGGAGCAGGGCTGATCGTAAATGTAAACACACAGTAAATGTTAAATATCTTAGGAGTAAGGAAGAATTATTATTTGACACTTAGGAAGAAAGAAGAAATATTCTCTAACAATACTGATACTGGTTAGTAAAAACCATGAATTAACCGCGAACAACCTTTTAAAATGCGTGTTTTCTGAATGCTAACGCAGTATATGCTCCGACCGTCCACACTCAGAACAACGGCCTACAGACATAAATAAACCAGCGACTGTATTCGCCATGACACAGGCAGTCTGTGGTTTGTACTTTTGTCTAGTTTCTGAAGAGGAGCTGTGAGCTCTGAGTGCTAACAGCTAACGGCTGATGTTGTTTTTCTGTGGTTCGCATTGAAGATGACGTCACGGCTCCGCCTACACTGCGTTACTATAGTTACTGCCCCAGCTACTAAACTGTAATGGAAACGTAGCATAAAGTGAGCCTGGCCTAACAAGGCCTAACAAAGTCTAACTATACCGTGCCGAGCGAGGCCCTGCAATGGAAACACGCCATTAGAGAACTGCAGGTTCGGGGTCCATAGCTTGAAAAAAAAAAAAGAGGAGGGGGATCTTGTGCCTGCTCAGAATTCTACCGCAGATACAGCTACATTTTTATTTCCTGTTTTTTTACACATAGGCCTACTCTCTCCAGTACAGGTTAGCTCTGAGTGTTAGCGATGATGCTAATGTAAACAAAGACCATATTACGTCCAAAACAGTCGCGCCTTGTTTCTGATCGCAACTTTCTGATAGGACCGTAGGCGTAAAGCCAGCCTACATTTACGATATTACGTCATATGGGCAGCAAATCTGGGTCAGCTCCGTTGAACCCCCATTTTTAGAGGTTTGGCTACGGAGGAAAATAGAGAGGGTTTTGTTTTCTGACACTTTGTGAGTTCCCTGACACACCGGGGACACATTTATGTATGAAAGACATGAAAAAGGGGATGTTGCATAATAGGTGACCTTTAAGTACAGTATTTTTTTTCTCCTTCACAGCCGGTGGACAGAAGTTGACGGTGGCAATCTCCGTCCTGCTCGCTCAGACTGTCTTCCTCTTCCTCATCGCTCAGAAGATCCCTGAGACCTCTCTATCTGTGCCTCTCATTGGCAAGTGAGTCAGTGTGTTCTCTGCCGACCTCTGCTGGGTGTTTCCTCCTTTTATCACACACTGTTTCCAACACAGGTCTATTCTTTGTCTTCCTCAGGTACCTGATCTTTGTCATGTCCGTCACTACGCTCATCGCCACAAACCAGATTGTGGTGCTGAACATCTCGCTGCGCACCCCCAGCACTCACAACATGCCCCGTTGGATCAAAATTGTGAGTACATTGTGTGCAGTTGACAGGCATGGAGAGTGAAATACTTAATAAGATTACTGGTACATTTCTAAGAATTGGGGATTTAAGTGTGAATCTATACGACTACTGCCTGCATCTGCTTAATGGCTTTACTTTCTTTGGTTCATTTGTTTTGTTTTTAATTCAGTATGTCAGGGGTGTACAACTCCGCGACTTCATTTAAAGTGGCCCGCAAGAGCTTGCAAAGAATATAATACGTTTATTATATTATAAACATGCCGCTTTACATTAGGACGTTGCCCATAAACTATATCTCCCACAATGCATCTCATTTTGTGACATGCGCACTGAAGAGACTTGCAATTATTTTCCCTAGACTTCTGCTTTCAGACGTAGTTAATTATGAAGTTATTACCCTATCCGATAATAATCCAATGCAAAGGCAAAAATGTAATATAATACATTATTTTATATATATTAGATATTTATATATGTATATTTATATAGTCTTAAAGTTCCAACCGGCTCTTTGAGTGCAACCATAATGCTGATGTGGCCCGCGATTACATTGAGTTTGACACCCCTGCAGTAGATCAACCTAAATTTGATGTTGATGTATTCCAAAAACTAATAGAAAGTAATCATTACTTTTATATTTTGATACTTAGAATAGGTTAGTGATTACATTTGTTTAATAGGTAACTATATGTAACAAAATACATTTGAAAGTAACCCCCCAACCCTAGCAGTTGGGTATCAAATGTCTGTTCAAGAGTTATAGTGTGTGAACTATGATGTTCAGAGGTGGGAAGTAGTGGAGTACAAATACTTTGTCACTGTACTTAAGTAAATTTTTCTGGTATCAGTACTTTACCACTACTTAGTTTTCTGACGACTTTTTACTTCTTACATGTTGAACTCAAATACCTGTACTTTCTACTTCTTACATGTTGAACCCAAATACCTGTACTTTCTACTTCTTACATGTTGAACTCAAATACCTGAACTTTCTACTTCTTACATGTTGAACTCAAATACCTGTACTTTCTACTTCTCTCATTTTCCAAACAGCTGGTTCCTTTAGTCTGAATGTGTGTTTGATGCGTGATCATTATTATTTAGAGTCATTGCGTGCCTATTGATTTGAACACGATCCGTGTATCCATCATTTCCTGGTCTTCTCTAAAGAAGAGGGACCAATGGAAACGTTGTCATGTTGCCGTTGTTCAGCATGGAAACATTCATTAGCTAACAATGACATGATTGTTCTATTCATATAAAGGGAGGTCAGGTACTCTTTAAAGCAGCTGCTAGTTATGGGTACTTTTTACTTAAGTACATATCAAAGCCCATACTTCTTTACTTTTACTTGAGTAAAGAAGTTTAGTCAGTGCTTCTACTTTTACCAGAGTATTTTTAAACACGAGTACCTGTACTTCTACTTGAGTAAAGGATGTGTTTACTTTTGCCATCTCTGCTGATGTTTAACATCTTGCTCCTGCAGCTCTTCCTGAAATGGTTACCTCGTTTCCTGGGCATGCCCCCGCTGGTGGACGACAGCGAGGAGGTCGTTGTGAACGGCGTGACGGAGCGGCGCCGCAGCTCCTTCGGCCTCATGCAGAGAGCAGAGGAATATGTGATGAAACAACCCCGGAGCGAGATGATGTTTGACAGACAGAGACAGAAGCATGGGCTCTCACAATCAGTTTGTAAGAAATCTATTCTTTAAGAAGACATATTATGCTAATTTCCAGGTTCATATTTGTATGTTGTGCCTCTCCTGTGAAATGTTTACTTGCTTTAATGTTAAGAAAGGTCTTTATTTTTCTCATACTGTGCGGCAGCACCTCTTTTAACCTTCTGATGAGCATGTCATTGTGTCCTTGGGCAAGACAATTCACCCCAAATTGCTCCTGTGGGAATTGCCAATAGTATTAAGTGTATGTAAGTCGCTTTGGGTAAAAGTCTAACAACAGTCAATCGCTTAGAGATGTCACATATCTACAATGTGTTGGAGTGCTAGCCAATAGAAACGCGAGTGTTACATAGTGATGTCATTATTTTATGGAAGTCAACAAAGTAGTCCAATCAAGGTGTTTCAGGCAGGGGGGGGGGGGTAACTTTATTACTTATTTTAGACTTTGCAGAAGATTAACATGCACAAAAACCTATATAACACGGTACAGGAAAGGTAATACCCCAAAAAGCATAAAAGGGCCTCTAAAAACTATAACAGAATAGTTGGATCAGATCGATCAAGTGTACACTAGGATAATAAAGGAAAATAAATCAAATTAGAATCCAAAAGCTGTTAATAAATGGAGAACCTAGATTGAACATTGCAAAAACAAAATACAACTTCAATGCTCCTTTTTTTTCGGGCCAGGTCTGCTTACCTGCTTACTGAATGTCTGCACATGCGCATATGTATATATACGCATATGAGTAGGTGTATATCTATATATGCTATCATGGGTATAGGTGGATATACAGTATATGAGTGTATAAGTGTATACAAATGGTCCCACTAACTGATCGATCAATGTTTTCTCTGTGAATCATATCCCAATGACTCCCTCAGTTATTTGTGTTTAACACGCATAATGTTTGTCATTTAACACCTTTATGTTTTGGATCAAAGATGCCTGTGTTTGGGAATGCTGTATCATACTGCTGTGTGACTGTCAGTGTCTCCTTCCCCCTAGTGGATCATTTGGATATCAGCAGCACAGCCAACCTGTACAAGAGTTTGGCGCAGACTGCACCCGAAATCAAGCAATGTGTCGACGCCTGCAACTTCATAGCCGAGAGCACGAGGCAGCAAAATAACATCGGATCTGTAAGTGACTTCAAACTTGGTCTGCCTATTATCTTTGCTTTTAAAGGAGTGTTTTTAAATAAACTAGCCTTGCCTTGCCTCGCCAGTACTTTTTGGGATGTTCAGTATAGATTACAGGATTTCCTATCAATTTGTTTAAGCTATGTTATTTAAAAACACTAAAAGCTTTATTTGTAGAGCATTTTTCACAGCTCAAAGTGCTTCACAAGTTGAACAGAAAACATTTGAACACACATGCAGCATATGTACATATTATGTGATATCATAAAGAACAAGGAGGCAGAATAGGAAAGATAATAAATACAGTATATATACAGTTTATAATACTAACTAAGTTACTTGTTGTTAAACTGTCCTGTGTTTATATTGTTACAGCAGAAAAGAGCCAAAGACAGCTTAATGTTACCTAAGAAGCATGCATACAAAATTACAAAATACACATCCTGTAACAGTTCTGTTCTGAATCTTATTCCTGTTGCTGCAAGTTTTCCCTATAGGGATCAATAAAGGTGTGTCTTATCTTATATTCACTTCATTTCCAATTTCAGGAAATAGAAAGCTGGGTGCTGATTGGAAAGATGATCGACAAGGTTTGTTTCTGGGTCGCCATCTCTCTTTTCATCCTCGGCACGGTGGCCATCTTCTTAACAGGACACTTCAACCGTGCTCCTGAATTTCCTTTTCCTGGTTCGAGCAGAAAATATTTACCGAAGACTTGACAACAGTCTCTGTGTTTAGGTTCTAAGATTAGTCAGGCAGCGATTTTCATTCAAACTCACAACTTAGCTGTTCATCTTAGCGTGCGTTTGTTGGATGTATACATTAAATGAGTGGATCAGGGCTCATTTAAAAGTGATGTTTTAAATCATAATTATCAAATATTCCTATTATGTGGTTTGTTGTACAGTATGAGTGTTTGGAGTATTTGAAGGGTAATCATGAAGGTGATTCACCACCATGCTGAGAAATGTTATTTATCTTGTTGCAAAGGCATTATTGCATTACATGGAGCCATACAGCTGTGTGGAACTGGGTTTTAAAATAACAATAAACAAGGTTTCTCCATCCATCCATCTCTCAAGGGCGTTATAATATCCATGTATTACATCATCTGACAAAGTCTGTATAAGTTTCCCTGCGTGTAGTCTTACTTACGTGGAAAACCTGCACATGTAACTGGGACATTGTCTTGATTCATTGTGCCATGTTTTTAAAATAAATTCATTATTTTGTGCTTTGTGACTTGCTCAATCAATTTATGTCGAGTTATGTGGAAACACAATTAGGAACATGTATTCATCTTCAACATACTCTCTGTTTTTTCTTGCTGTTCTTCAGTGGTTTTGAAATGGTAGGCTATACATCGTGAAAGTGTAAATATATTGGAAAACGCCCCAACAATTCAAACATATCAGGAAGTGCAAATAACCAATTAGCAAATGAAAAACAGATAATTTGTAAGTGACTTTAACCTTTTCAAGATCATCATGTCTGTTCTCTTTATTATCAATTATAATTCAGCTACCAGTTGTGTGTGTTTGAGAGAGATATTTGGGAAATGCATAATGCGTAGGTGAAAAACAAAGGCATATAATCATTGAATAATGTTAGATTTGTCATTATTTTATACTATTGTTTTATCTTGTATCAATTGAAGCCATCATATGGTTGACCAACATTAAATCTTGTTTTGGTTTCTTCTTCTTATCAGTATGCAGATATTGCTCTGTGTTACGTTCCCTTCTAAATCTAGGGGGTACAAAGGGAAGTAACAACACACAAGGATGACCAAGCACGACAAAAAGGAGAGAAAACCGATCTCTGAGTAACGAACAAGTCGTTTAATGAACACAACAGGAACACGGGCTCACCAGCCAACTTGCACAGAATAATACAGCATCAATATATATCACGGAGCTCCCCTCCTATCAATCGGCAAGACACAGGTCTGCACAAATGCAGCCAGAGGAGGAAAAAAGGAGAGCCCACTGCAATCTTCCTCCGGTCCTATATGGAGGCCCTGATTTGGAATTAGGAGCACCTGGGGAGAGGCTGCACCTGGGGACAATCAGGCTGCACCTGGGGAGTCAGAGGGAGAGAGAGAAAAACACACACACGACCACACAAACACTACGGCACGTAACACTCTGAAATAACTTTGAATCCCTAATTAGACTTTTGTTGGTGGTTGAACACCTCCATGTGGAGTGAAAATGTACTACACCCAGTCATTGTAATTGCGCCACAGGTTGATCACAGGTTGAATTGTAAATTATCTAAGAGTCACATACTCACTAAATTGTTCAGTTTTTAATTGCAAGTATTCACTCATATATGCTGATGTTTTTATTGCTGGAACACCTCAGTAAAAATCAGTGGTGTAAAGTAACTAAGAACATTTAGTCAAGTACTGCACTCAAGTACAATTTTGTGTACTATTACTCCACTACATTTATTTAATACCTTTAGTTACTTCACAGATCTGGATGAATGATCTGAAATATAATCAAGTGCTAAATCAGACTTTAGTTCCACCTGGAGTAAATTCTCAAGCTACCCTACAGTACAAAGTCATTCAAACTAGCTGCACCTTTACCAGCTTTGAGAACACTTTCATGATCAATCATTATAAAACATATCATAATCATATATTATTCTGAAATGGACCAATCTGCACAATGACTACTTATACTTTTGATACTTTAACTATATTTTGATGCTAATACTTTTCTGTTTTTACTTCAGTAACATTTTGAATGCAGGACTTTTACTGTAACATAGTACTCCTACACTCTGGTACTTCTACTTTTACAAGATCTGAGTACTTCCACCTCTCAAAGTAGAGGTTTCTTGACCATTTCATGACTTGTTTCAGAGCAGTAGCTCATCCAGAGTTGCATGTAGCCTATACTTCCGGTTACAAAGTAAAACAACTATAAAAAACGACCTTTTATCAAACAAATACTTTCAAAAACACAGATGTGAGTCTTTAAAAAAAAAAACAGTATCAGAGACCGGAAGTTCGTCATACGCTACGTGACTTCACCACAGCCCCTCCTCTCCATCCATTTACCTGCATTCCTCTCGGTGTGTTCCCATGATGGCACAGTCGGGATATGTTTGCCCATTAAATCCATGTTTTGTCTCCTAGCATCTCTGATTCTATAATATAAACAGTCCACTTATTAATGCATGTTTATCTTCACAAATAAAATAAAATAAACACCCTTTTTCGTTTTTTTAACCATACAACACATGTATTTTTGTTTTAATTCAGATTACAGATAAAATCACTCGTGCCATGACCTGTCCTCGTGACACAGCCACATTTTAAGGACATTTCCTCTTTTTCCTCCGTACTGTCCCACTGGACACGATATGGGAGGGACTAAACGTGTGCATCACCTACGGGAAATACTGTCAAACTCTGGCAAGAAAACACGATGAAATGTTACTTTTATCCTGGATGTAATTGTTTCTTTTTGTCCTGCCTTGTGGAGTAGCTGTGTGTGCTGCGTCGCGGCGGTGTTTGATCTGAAAGTAAGTATATTTAGGGCCTTAAGGACACACTTATTGCACTATTCTGCAATGCGATGTGAGATGTTTGCAGCGGCCAATATCACTTCACCCAGAGGCTCGAATACCTGAACTGTGTCGGTGTGAAGACTACATAATGTTTCGACAGGTGACTAATGTGGCGTAGTTTTGTAAAGTATTGTAGTGTATTTGAAGAATGCGTCGCTGTAGGAATAGGCCTATGGGTGGAGACGACAAAACTTAGCTTTTGGCTTTTTTTCCCGACAGTCAGTCTGACTCAAACTTAATATCCGGAGCCTAAAAAAAGACTGTAAAGCTACACTTCTGCTCGCTGACAAACATATATAACATGTCTCAAACATATATGGGTGTAAACTGAAGACATGCAGTGTGTTCTCATTGAGCCAGACTTCAGCCTTATCTAAACTCCCATCAACTCCCAAAAAAGAGGCCAACGTGTGTTTTTACCTCCAAGGTTGTATCTAAAACACACTAAAAATATGTAGACTCATTGTGAAAGTGTAATGTGTTAATGTGGGGTCAAACAGTCAAAAGAAACAAGATTTAAGGCGTCAAGTGCATATGTGGGGAAATCCGAAGGGAACCAGCAGACTCAGCACTGTTGTTTCAGTCATTTAGGAATGTATGACACATATCACATCCTGTCATGATTTCTCTAGTGATTTCTACATGTTCCTCAATGTCTCTTGTTCTTGTGCATGTACTTTCCAAAAGATGAGTTATGCAAAGAAATATGCAAAACAATAATTTACTCTGAGTTAGGAACAATAACATTTGTGTATTTCAGGCTAGTTTATGAGAATGCATGTCCTTATAAGAATGCATACTGAACAAATGTGCAATCACTTAAATGTGATAACCTCAATGGTTGTTGTTGTTAAGCCTTATAAGGCCTGTTAAGTCACAATCTATTGGCAAAACGAGGTAACACAATGGAGATTGTGCTGATGAAAGCCCTTGTATTGAAGAGGCTTTATGTGGCTGTATTTTTGGGAACATTTGGTGATATCTGTGAGGTGAGATCCAACAACACATCTGCACTTACCAACATAATGCCGCCAAAAAGACAACAATGGCAATATAAGAGATTGTATCTTGATCTCATAATTGAGGAAGTATTGTGTACTATCAGAATACTTAATTAATCAGATAACATCCAGATTAGGGTGCCAGGTAGGACACACTCGCTCACTTTGAGACAGTTTTGTAACGTACTTAAATCACTTTTTTAGGCTCATACATTTTTTTAGATGTGACCTCCTGTAACCCCTATAACCACACCAAGCGATGACGTAATGTTGTACTGACCACACCCTGAATACAACTCTACATCTGCAGCAAAGTCATAAAGAGTTCAACTATTAGAGCTTAGCCACAAAAACAACAGGTAACTCTTTAAAAAGCTTATTTGTGAAGTATTTTCATGCTCTGTTGAAACCTTTTTAATTAATCTGTTATATGGTATTTTGTTCATATAAAAAAATTGACAAATCTTTCACATAGGGGGGCTTTAAATCTCTCATGGCCTTGTGAGTTACTGCTTCTGGCAACTATAGTAACTGATCCAGCATTGTGGTCCAAATCGAGTGTAGAATAAGCACTCACACACACACACACACACACACACACACACACACACACACACACACACACAGAGAGATTTAAGCTCATAAGACCATTTGGTGTGGCTTGGCTTTCAGTAAAAGCACTCCTTTCTGGCCAATTTGGCTCGTGCAGTAGAGAGGACCCTGGGCTGACATAGTGTTGTAGGAAGCCCGAGTAAATAGTGAAAAGAAAGTTTCACTCCAATAAACAGAAAACAGGAAAACCTTGTCAGTCTTTTTCCAGATACTTCTGTTAGGCCTGTCAAGTTACTGCACATTATATTTGCTGGCAAGTACAGACTTATCCTGCAGTGAAGATCAAAAGTAACTTCCAGTAGACCTAAGAGGTTATTTAGTAAAAATATTGTTTTGGCAACTTATCTGTCTCACCAAACAGCTGGAAGTGGATTTAGATGACAGGGTTTATGGTAACTGATGTTGCTGAATGGATGGTAACCGAACCGTTAAATAGCGCTATTTATGACCCCTCGAAGCGCTTTACATACTACGAGTCATTCACCCTTTCACACCTCATTCATGCAGAACAGTAGCACTTGCTCCAGGGAAGCTCACACACACACACACACACACACACACACACACACACACACACACACACACACCGTTGGCCATCAGGAGCAACTCGGGCCCCAGATGGACTAAAAAGATCTAGAAGTAACAACAAAAGAAGCGTGGGAAAAGAGCAGCAATAGCTCACAAAGTGGGAATGGTCTCAATTAGAAGTAGTTATTTTCATGGGACTCTCAGCAGCCTCTGGTGCAGATGCAACTAAATGGGAGATATTCATGACGTGTTTCAGTAGATAATGGAAACTCATAGGAGTGTTCAGTGTTTGTAATAGCCTAATGAATCGACTTTAATAACGATATCTGTTATAAAGGAAAACATGAAGATAACAGTAGATAACCGAGCATCTACGTAAGAGTCTCCTATTTGTTTTAGACAACCTCAACCCATAACAAACATGAGTGTTTTATGAGGCACAATACATTTTCTAAAAATGACCATATGGCATATCTCCATATCTAAACTGCTAAAGGCTAAATGTGTCAAAAGTATGATAATGCTGCAACTATGTGCCAGTGTACAAATCGTATTCTAAATAATCTCAGAAAACAATCTTTGTTTAATACAAATGGCATCATTTTTTTTACATTTGTTATAGGGCTGCTCGATTATGGCAAAAATCATAATCTCGATTATTTGGGTCAATAATTGATATCACGATTATTAAAAACGATTATCCATTTACTTTGAAAACATCCATTTATTGAAAAAAAAAATGTGAACAGTATGTTTTAACAGTTGATTACCCTGAACGTTAAGTATAACTCAACTGAAAAACCAATACAAAAAATAATTTAAAAAGAATAAATATAAAATCGTTTTATTTCGATTATGTTGTTTTCATAATCGTTGCAAGCCAAAATCGTAATTGCGATTAAAATACGATTAATTGAGCAGCCCTAATTTGTTATTAGTATTTATGCAAATTGAATATTTGCCTTATTGCATTCCCTTTTATAAATCTAATATACATTGCAATATCTGTACAAATATTCATAATTGTGAGGGAAACTTCTGAAGCAATTGTAAACAGGACTGAGAGAGACACGAGGAGAGCAGAGGCCTGGCTGTACTACGAATCCCAACCCAAAACAAACGCGCTCTCGCTAAGCGGTCCTACGACGCTGGTTATCAACTCGGTAACTCAAGCCAGGGTTTCTCTATTTCCGGCTGAGTGCGCGTTCAGATGGAAGTTGCGGGGTTAGCAACATTTGACCAATCACAAACATTGACAAGCGTACTGACAACGCAGCGTCATACTTCCTGAATGAAAAGAAAACTATAATATTAGTCAAATATGAAGAAGTTAAACTTTAAACATCCATGACTTAAACACTTTATTCAGGATAAAAGCCACACACCTGCAAGGTGAATACAGCTGGTAAAATAAAAAGTGTTTGAATGCGTACATTAACAGGTTTATGATATCACTGCACAGTGGATCTGACTTTAATTACATTTGACTCGAGTGTTTCGTCAACTTAATGTGTTGCTTAAAATAATACTTCTGCATACAGTATGTGACACTGTGAGTGTTACACGGCCAGATACGGCTCAAGAAGCTGACTCGGATAAGGAAATATATGATAATATGATATGATGTGATATGAATGATAATGGGACACCTCACACTCACCGGACTGTACGTAGGGGAGAGTGGGGTAAGTTGAGTTATGCTGTCCTCTAAGCACGGAGAAATTACACATAGTACAAATGAAAACACACACCTATAATTCAGGATGTCTCCTATCAATGGCAATTATAAGAATTAATATTTGATCAAGGGCAGTGAAAATATTACTTCTAAAAAAAATAAAAGTCTTGTGGCTCAACTTGCCCCGTGTTGATCCAGGTCAGGGGGTAAATTGAACCACTGTTCAAACTGGGCATACCTGTTCAAACCTGGGCATACCTACAACAAATCTTAAAGGTAACTTTAAACAATAAATAACAAACCAAATACAAGTTTAGATTTTCAAATATTTTTAATATAAATTTCGAATGAATTTATTGATTTTATTTTGACATGTTAAAAGTAAAAGTCATCATACAAATGGTGATACAATTTCATGCATCTTACCAATCAAACACAGGGTAAATTCAACTTTAAATGAGCTCTTATTATCAACTTGGCCTACTTTCATTAATTTCTCCATTGAAAAACTGGCTCAACTTACCCCAAGGCCCATGGTTCACTTTACCCCATAGCCACCATTTTAGAAAAAATAGCCTAGCATTAAAATTCAGAGTCATCTTTAGCTTAATGATTTAATACGCTGCCAACACATCGACATATACAATATGTGTTTAAACCTGGATACTTTTTTTTTTTTACATGACAGCCGATATAGCTGACATCTAGAAAATGTACTTTGACAAGCAAAAAACGTTTTTTTGTAAAAAGGTTTACTTGCCAGACCACAATGAGTATCTCTCTTTCACAGGCACTGAGAAATGGGTGGGGCTTGCATCATTTCTGGTCACTTGATTACAACCGCTGATTACAACTATAAGGCGTTGCCTGGTTACAGGGGGTGGTTCAACTTACCCACTGGCTCAACTTACCCCCTTCTCCCCTAATGTTACTTTGATCCGGTTACTTATGTTGTGGCAGATAATATTTAAGTAAGCTTTCTTAACGCTAATGTTATAATAGTCAGATTGCTCTGAAGATGGGAGGTGATATTCTATTCATTTTCACGTTCCTGGCCCAGGAAACATTCAGCCATTCAAAGACATCTACCCACACACTGTAGCTAACAAAAGGATACACACACACACACACACACACACACACACACACACCCTTTTCTCCGACTGGTAGCTGTGTCCTAGCCGTCTCGTATGTCGCAGTATAGATGACCTTATCCACAGGTACACACGTCATGTATAAAAGCATATTTTTTTGTAAATTAACAGCAGAACTTGTTACATTTTGTGTTGTTCGGTGGTGTGAATTCCTCCTCTCGTGTGATCCCACTATCTCGCTGAACTACTTCAAGAACCTGCCATGAAAATATGTCACAGTCGAAGCACAACATACTCAAATATGAACCTGATAATTATTATAATCTGGTGTCTATAAATACTTCTCCAGATATCCAGTAATAGCTGTGTGCCAATGATACTACTGATGCCACAACCAATGCAACTACTGCTGGTGCTACCACTGCTAAAAGCACCTGCAACAATTAGCAGTGGCGCTAGTTTTCTACATACAGTATATAGAGCTTATGTAATTTAATATATATATATATATATATATATATATATATATATAATAAACTGTACGAGGTGAGGAACATTAGATAACAGATTACTTGTTAAATACAAAAAAATAAGCGAAATCTTTTCCAACATTTTATTGTCAAATTAAACATTTTAACTTTACACAAAAGCACAAATGAAAGTAACACAGGCAGTATAACATTAATGCTTTTTCATTTATTAAAGACTATGAAGTCATGATAAGAGAATACATGCTTAATCTCTCAGGCATTTTAAGTTTGCAATGTATACAGCTAAAGCCTTAAACTTGCAGTCTCTGGAGTTATAAGTTGCCTGCAGAAAAACATTTTTATTTTATACTGTGATGAAATGCGGATCTAAATGCACGCTGAAGGCTCTTTGAGCATGTTTTCTCTTAGTGATTGTGCTGTTATGTTAAATGTTTGTTTGTTTTTCATGTATTGTGTCTTGATACGTGTCTGTTGATGTTAAACATGGAACTGCTGTGATGCATGTCAAATTTCAGACTTGATCTGACCGTTAAAGTATTATCGTATCGTATCTGAATCTATTCTTATCCATGGCAGTGTAGTGCACATTATATATGCTTAGTGGTGAAAAGGTGCACACACTCTGGGCTGTACAGTACATGTAAAACTCTCTCTGTCTTTGCATCAGGGTAGTTTGCACTCGCGGCATCAGAGCGATGGACGGCCCGGATGACATCGAGCCGGAGACTAAGAGCTCGTCGGCCCAGCCTCTGGCCAGAAGACGCTTTTCAAACGACATGCACGGCCTGAGTCCAGACGAGATAGATGGCCTCATGTCCAGCAGCGGTAGGAACAACTGTCCCTTTCTTCAATACCTTTAACCATCACATCAGAAGACTTTTATTAACATGTTCTCTATCTAATCTTTCAAATCACAGAGGGACGTCCTTTCCTTGTGGTGCATCGTCTTCCTGAAATAAAAATTGAGGGTGTTCCTGCTCTAATGCCTGGTATCCCTATCACATGCAGAGTGGACAACACAGAGAAACACACTACCCGCTCTAAGGTATACCTTTACACTAGTTCTTTATAAGTGAACACTTGTTGATCTCTTTTGGTGGTTCCAAATAGGATGCTTGATTTTTATAAAAAGCTTTGGATACACCTTAAATAAAAGCATTAAAAGAGGACGTACTAGGCTCATATTTCATCGAAGTCAGAGGCCTCATTATCTATTTTCTTGCTCCATTTAAACATTTTATTTTCATTAGGAAGCAGAGGATCATTTGTAATGGTGTATTATAAAAGGAATCACCACGTTTTGCTATTTTCTTTACAAAGTGACTGAAAACATGTGCTAGATTTTCCTCCTTAAACCCATCATGCTTACAGTATGTCCTTCATGTCCATGGTGTCTGTCCAGGTCCGTGTGGGCACCTTGTACACCGTGTTTCTGACCCATGGTCACTTCCACTGGTCGGTGAAGAGGAAGTACAAGCACTTCCAGGAGCTGCATCGAGACCTTTACAAGCATAAGATGATGCTGCACCTGATTCCTCTGGCCAGGTAGGTCCACCAATCTGTTTCAATCATGTAAAGCAGGGGTGTCCGCACTTTTTTCACGAGGGCCACATACAGAAAAATACACGAAGGGCTGGGCCGCTCACTAGAGGTATATCGCCTCGTAAGTTAAGTTGGAAAAATCAATCCAATGCAGGTAAATTATTCTTGATACTTGAAAATGCTGTTAGAAAAAAAACAGCTCATAGCTCTCCGTAGGGTTTCATTTGTTTTGTTAGCAGCTCATTCCTTAAAACAGAAGTTCCAGATTGCTTATCATACTGTAAGAGGACATATGGAGGGTAGATTTCAAGGTTGTAATGTACATGTGTTATTGGGCTTTTTTTCATCAATTTAGATTTGTTAGAACATGTAACTTTAATTGACTGAATTTATTTGAAAATTGGGCTTATTAACATACGAATACTGTGTAATATATTTAAACATATATATTTAAGAAGTACAATATAAGGCCCCGGCCACACGAGGACGAAAACGGTCGTTTGCGTTACTGTTTAGTGTCATATAGACCGTTCGGCCACACGAGGACGACAGAATACGGCACTAAACGACTGCGGAAACGATAACGGGTCCCAAGGTGGATAGAACGGCATACGCAACGCTCTGGGGGGTCCAACGGCTCCGTGTGTACGATCATTTTCTGATAATGATGATGCAATAGCCCGCCTCTCCCCACCTCTGCTGCTCCTCCCCGCGTCAAAGTAAACTGCACACTGAATTCAGATTATTTATCTTTCTCTCGATATGGACATAAACGCGAGTGAAGTCTAATCTGACAGGACGGAGACACCTCTCAAACTACCTAAACTAGTTATAAATATGTTTATTTTTACTGTCGGCCGGGTCACTCATTACTGGATCAGCTGCTGCATGAAACAGACACTGGCGCTGTCCAAAGAGAGGGAGGAAAAAGTATATTTATATAGAGTCGTTATTCATTTGTTTTAAAGCTCAATAAATAACAAAGAAGACCTTTGACCGGCACTTTTATAATTTTGTCGGAAGATTTAAACTTTAATACACGTTGACTGGCGAAAAACTCTGCCCGGTTCCCTCGGCCCCCACCGCGGAGAATAAACAGAAGGGCAACCATGACAACCATGCTTCTTCGCTGCTTTTGTGGAGGAAGTTACAGCGCCACGTACAGGCTCCTGCATATGTACTGCAGCTTCTCCAGCGGTTGGAGCTAAACGGAGCGGTCTCGTGTGGACAGACACTATCCGGTGAATATTGCGTGTGGACGGAAGCTTTTTTGCGATTGCGTTTGCGTTAATCCTATGCGTTTAGCCGTTTTCGTCCTCGTGTGGCCGGGGCCTAAGACGAGCAGAAGTTTATTATACTTAAGTCATTATGCTTTTTTAATTAGCTGAGGGCCGATTCAAAATGGCATTTGGTCCCCGGGCCGTAGTTTGGACACCCCTGATGTAAATCAAGCTCTCACTCTGAGAGACTCCCAATCCAAATCCCTGTGATGTGTTGCGTTTGATACGTTTCTATTTCTATTTCCCGCACCCAGTGTTTTTGAATATTCAAATTTCTCTCAAAGATTTGCAAAGGACCGAGTGCAGCTGAGGGCCATGTCGGAGGAAATGCCCAGCCTCCACGGCACTGAGCGCACCAGGAGGACCTCCAGCAAAATGGTATCCAACTCAGCATCAGTATAGTATAGTGATAGTCATACATTTGATCTATGTAACACCTTTCATACATAAAGGGCAGCTCAAAACAATACAATAATATACAATATATAAACACATTTCTAATAGGATAGACAGCATAAAAGACAGTTGTAGCACTTAGACTACAACAAAAAACAACTAAAAAAGAAATTTATAGTTTAGTTTATATAGATATTTCACATCTATCAAGAAACTAATGATATTAAATACATGTAGTGGAGTGAAAGTACATGATTTGCCTCCGAATTGTAGTGGAGTCGAAGTTCAAAGTAGCATAACATGGAAAAACTCAAGAAAAGTACCTCAAAATGTTACTTAAAGGTAGGGTAGGTAAGAATGGAGAAACCAGCTCGAGTGCGCTAGAATTTGAAAATACACACACAAACGCGCACATGACCAATGAGGGCACGAGATAAGTTTGTGCACAGATGGAAGGCTGACAGGCAGGTAGGCATCCAGTTATTTTAGCCTGGCCGGCTCAGATGATTGGTCGTGCTTTTTACAGCGCCACGGCTTCCACAGATGACATTTTTTTATGTATTTATTGTGAAAGCATTTAATATATACATTGCTATCGGGATGATAAGAGCATTCATGTACTTAGTTACTTCCCACCTCTGATAATCAATATATTGTAAAAATCATACCGTCAGCCAGCTGTGTTTCAAGTTGTATTGCAATGTATATAACTTTAATTTATTTTGTATAAACTGTGTACATAACATTTATTTTCTATTGCAGAAATACCTTGAGGAGTACCTGAACGGCCTGCTGGAGAACTCGTTTTGCAGGAATGATCACAGCATGGTAATATCTATAAAAAGAAAGACACTTATAAATAAAACAAAGTGGATGTTATGCAGCATGATGCCATTCTTGTATCTTTTTATTTCAGATTGAATTCCTCTCTGTCGGCGCCCTCTCCTTCATCACTGATCTCGGACCCAAAGGCTTGTAAGCAAACGTCCAAAGAGTGTGTGGGAAATGACAATAGATTGTACAGAGAGATTAATTGTGTCAACTTTCCTCAGGGAGGGTCCCATCTCTAAGAGGTCGGGGGGTCATCGGATCCAGGGCCTGAACTGCATCGGTCACCATCAGTTCTGTTTCCGCTGGTCCCGGCGCTGGCTGGTGGTCAAAGACTCCTTCCTGATGTACATGAACCGAGACAACGGAAAGATTAACTTCGTGTTGCTGTTCGACCCGGAGTTCAAAGTGAAAGTGGGCCGCGCTTACACCGACACCAAATACGGAGTCTGCTTCGAGAACTTCACTCGGTACGTCTCTGACATTACATTTCATTTAGCTGATGCTTTTATCTTACGCCACTTACGGTACGTCCACACGGCAGCGTCGCGTTGAAGCTTGCCGGTGGGCGTGTCTAACAACCAATCACATTAATCTCCCACCCCGACACACAAGCACGCGGTTTGATTGGCTAGCGCTTGTACTGGCATATGATTTGATTGGCTGGCGCTTCCGTTGACGCTTGAAAAGCTGAACTTTTCTCAACTTTCGAAGCGAGCAACGGAGGCAAAGTGACGGAACCACAATGCAGTTCAGCAAAGCGTGACGTCACCCCAATCAAAGTGAATGAGAAGCGTCTCCGTTGAAGCACACAACGCTGCCGTGTGGACGTACCGTTACAATAAGACAACTAAAACGCAAGAGTCCTGCAGGTACATTAGCTTTCAGTCAAACCAGATCAACTAATTTCCATCACCTAGTTTCCATCTTCATTAGCATCACTTCTGTCACATGCTTTTATCATATGGCAATACTTATGTTGTTGTTCATAATGTTTTTATAATTTGTTGTGCTATGGCATTTGTATGTTGTTTTTGTCTTTGCTTTGGTTTGCTTTGTACAGCCCTTTGAGGCATCTTCTGTGATTTGGGGCTATAATACATTTTGATTTGCTTTGATTAACTGTTACTATTAGCTTCAGTTTAATCAGACCTACAGTGCTATTTACAGAAGAGAGCTTTTATTTTTTATTTTTAGGTCTGCCTGATGTTGTTTTGTTTTTTTAAATCAGGGGTGTGAAAGTACCAGGATCTTTTACTTCAAGAGTTCGAATTATATTTTGGGGGGTTTTCCCTTTCCTGTTGTTTGTTACATAAGATTGTGTGCATGTCAATGGTATGCAAAGACTTAATCTGTGTGTTCCCCCTATTTTATAGGGGCTAGAGGGCAGGACATCTAAGCTGTTGACCAATCACAACAGAGGCAGCCAGCTAACCAATCGGAGCAGGCTGGGCTCTGGTTTCAGACGGAGGGTGAAAAGAGGTGCTGCAGCACAGGCAGTATGTGTCAGGGAATAATTTACCCTGCATGTCCTCTTTCGCCCTCTGACGCAGAGGCCCAGCCTTGGGCAGCATGTTATCTCCCTTAAGGAGGGGCTGCCCTAGCAAGTTGTTGTTGTTACCAGTTTATGACCGGGCAACTCTCAGTCAGAGATAGTTATTGTTGTGGGACACCTGGAACACATCCTTCTCGGGGTGTAGATGACCCAGAGCCATAACTGACAACTGAAGTTGATTCCGTTTCCTCCGCTGTTTAGTCTCTCTTGAAGAATGTTGATTACCCTCAGCAAACTAGTTAAAGCCTCCTACCAGAGAGGAGACCCCTCAGAATTGATTGTGGCATCTCAACCGTGTGGTCAGATCGTGGCTCGTGACATGTCTTGTGAATTCTCCGGTCAAAGCTCCAAATAAACCGTCAGTGTTAGCCATCAAAGCTCCAGCTCTCCTCGTGTCTCTCTGAGTCCTGTTTCCAATTGCTTCTGAAGTTTCCCTCACAGTATGAATGATTCAGTAACATGACGTCTTGGATTTGTTTTGCTTTTGTTCAGGAGTCTGGTGATCAAATGCTGCAGCTACAGACAGACTCACTGGTGGAGTCATGAAATCAACCGGCTGTCCGACTCCAGCGACTTCCTCAAAGTTCAACGCTTCGAAGGGTTCGCTCCGCCGCGGGAGGACACGCTCACCAAATGGTCAGATACTTATTCTACCTGAGAACTATAACCATCTATCTTCAGATCTCACCTCATCCTCATTGTTCTTATCTGTAATGGTTTGTGGTTTTTATTTACAGGTTTGTGAATGGAAGCGGCTTCCTCTCAGACTTGGCTGACGCTCTGGAACAAGCCAAGGAGGAAATCTTCATCACAGATTGGTGGTAAGTGTCAGAAAGATCTGGATTTAGAGAAGAGGCATTTTTTTACAGAATTGACCATTCGAATACATCATTTGAAAGATTTTGCATTTAAAGAATAAAGCTTAAATTAGGGGATAACGTTTAAATGTCAAGAATAAAGTTCAAGTAATGAGAATAATAGTTAGAGTATTGAATATAAAGAATGTAATGGACATTTTGGGAATAAAGTTGAGATTTTAAGAATCATTTAAAAATATTAAAAATGAGGTTGATATATATATAATAATAATAATAAACATTTCCAGAAAGAAAAGAAAATTATATTAATATTTTCCGCATAACAAAATGTTATTTGTACCTTATTCCAAACATTCCCACTTTTACTAATTGTCTACATTTCAACTTTACTCTCAAAATGCAAAATACAATAAAAAAATATACAAACAAGATGTCGAGAATAAAGTGCATTATTTTTGGATAAAGACTTAATTTAAAATATGGAAATTCAAGAAAAAAATCTCAAAGACTTAATCATGTTTATACACTAATGCTAAGTAGACAAATTCTCTACATTACAAAATGTTTGTTAAATCTTATTCTCAAAATGCAGAATAAAAACCTTCCTCCTACCTTTTGCAATTTAAGAATATAATGTTTAGGATAAAGTTTAAGTGACAGAATTAAGTTAAAATATTGAAAATCAAGTTGAAATGTTGATATAAAAGTCTACTTTGAGTGTCTCTGTTCTGATCCAAATCTTCTCGTCCGTATAACGTGAATGTCTCCTCTGTCAGGCTCAGCCCTGAGGTCTTCCTAAAGAGACCGGCAACTGATAACTTCTGGCGCCTCGATGAGATCCTCAAACGCAAAGCAGTACGGTTTCTCTCTGTCTTCCCTGTTATACCATTTAAATGATCTTCCAATTTCCCTCTATTGTATATTCTTATATTTATTCAACCTTTCCTGCAGGAACAAGGAGTCCAAGTGTGTGTTCTGCTGTACAAGGAGGTGGAGATGGCTCTGGGCATTAACAGTGAGCACAGCAAGAAGACTCTCATGAATATGCATCCGAACATCAAGGTCAGTCACATCTTCCCATCATGTCAAACACACAATAAACCCATCAGAGACTCTTCCTCCCTCACCGCATTCAAAAAGTCACTCAAGACCCACCTGTTCAACATTCATTCAACCTCTGACCACCCCCCCCTATTTTCTGTTTTTGTTTGTCTCTATATGTATTTTTCTTCGTTTCTGTCAAAGCGTCTTTGAGTTTTTAGAAAAGCGCTATATAAGTGTCATGTATTATTAGGCTAGTGACAATGGCCCCAACATTTTGAGATACCCCTCCCGGAGTTGGAACAAAACACACTTACTTTTTCCTCATCTCTAAGGCCTCCCATACATGAAATGGATTGTTGTATACAAATATTTTACTGCAAAAGTGGTGAAATTGATATATAAAGTTAGACACCCCAAACTAAAAATAAAGGCTGGCCGTCTGGGGGTTGAGGCATAACAACTCATGTAGATTCACAATGGAAGGTCTGATAGGTTTAAAACTTGGCATACCTGAGGTCAGGACATCCCTCTGCATTATAGAAAAGACTGAATGTCAATATCTTAATGTAAATTGGAGATAGTCATTTGAATACATACCTACAATAGGCGGAAATGTATCTATGTAGAATGATGTCTTTACTTTGTAGTGACCCTGACATGGATTGCCATAGCATATGCCTCAACCCCCAGACGGCCAGGCTTTATTTTTAGTTTGGGGTGTATAACTTTATATATCAATTTCACCACTTTTGCAGTAAAATATGTGTATACAAAAATCCATTTCATGTATGGGAGGCCTTAGAGATGAGGAAAAAGTAAGTTGTGTTTTGTCCTAACTCCGAGAGCGGTATCTCGAAAACTAAAGCCCTTTTTGGCTGTTTGTCACAGGCCTATATTATCCAGAGGCCTCATCTCATGTTTTAACATACACCCCTATTTCCCTTCAGGTAATGCGACATCCTGACCATGTGTCGTCCGTGGTGTTCCTGTGGGCTCACCATGAAAAGATGGTGGCCATTGACCAAACTGTAGCCTTTGTGGGCGGGATCGACCTGGCGTTTGGGCGGTGGGACGACAGCCTGTACCGACTCACTGACCTGGGGTTGAGAGAGACGTCTGACACCGTAACAGGAGAGGAGACCGACGGAGATACAGGGGTGAGAAGTTCTTTTTATCAGCTTGTTGTCACCGAGTACTCCATTATTCTACAAAAACTCGAAATATTGCTAAGTATAACAACTTCAGAAGTAACACTGCAGTGAGATATCGGGTCTTGTTTTTGGACAATGCATCATCTTGTTCAGTCAAAAAAACCTTATTTTGAGTTGCATTTCAGATGAAACACATTCTTTTACATATTTATTCGAAAATCACCAACTAACATCAGATAACAGAACACCTTTGAGCATTTGCAGCTCATATTGTAACAACATTTCCTGATTCTGGTCAAATATAGTTCAAAATGGCTTCTCCCAGCTAATTACAGGATCTGGTTTATCTAAATATCCCTTCTTATTTCAAGAAATCTTACCAAGCAAATTTTGACTTGTTCTATTGGCTGATTTTAATTTCAAGTGAAAACAGCTTGTTTTCAATATTGTTTAACTTGTTTTTGGAGCAGCATTTTTTCCAGTATAGACCGTGCTCTCCAGATGTCTCACTCCCTGCAGAGACACTAACACATGTTTCTCTCACCAGGACAACGGTGTGTCAAAACCATCTGAACCAGATAAGGAAGTGGAGCAGAACCTCGACGATCTGACGGGAAACACTAAGCTGTGGGTCGGCAAAGACTACAACAACTTCATCAAGAAAGACTGGGTGCAACTGGACAGACCGTTTGAAGGTATGCTGTGTAAAACTCTCTCAAGCACACACTGAGAGGCTCGGACAACAGGGAGCTGAAATGATTGCTTCTTCTATATATATTTCTTTCAGATAACGTCAACCGCACTCAAGTTCCCCGCATGCCGTGGCGTGATCTGTCTGCAGTTGTTCATGGCCAAGCTGCAAGGGATGTAGCCCGTCACTTCATCCAGCGCTGGAACTTCACCAAGGTCAGATTAAAACTCTCTCTTTAAACGTACCTGTGTTTGATTGTGATATGTTTGGCCTTGATCATCCATACCTTTGAGGACTGAGCTCCTGACCTGGGGCGACAGGGCCTTCGCTGCTTTATTATTAATATTGCTGTACACATAAATATTGCAAACATCCTCTTAAATGTTGTATTAGTGCTATGCTTTACAAATGAGTCTACAAAAGCTTTCAGATGGCTTTACTCCCGATCATCTTACTATCGTTTGGTGGTGTAAGCTAAGTTTATACGTTGAAGCCATCGTATAGAAGCTTCAGCAGACTTTTTTACAAGATAGAAACAAGTTGTGAATTTTGGAAACTATTACATCTGTCTTATTTCAATAAATGTGGACTTTTGGAAAGTTGGATCACACGAGTACTATTCAGTCACTACTTTTATTAGGGACCCAAAAAATCGATGTCAGACTTGTGTTGCCATCGCACCATTGAGATTCCTCTTCTATGTTATGCTAATCAATTTGTTGTATAAGCCACAACTTCAAAATAATGACTCGGATAGTAAGTTGTAAAATGTACTTTACCTAACTCTTTAGGAAAGCTTGTGTACTAACAGGAACCAGTTGAAATCTCAAACTCATTCGTGTGTTTTGTGTCCTCCAGATTTTCAAAAACAAGTACAAGGACAAATTCTACCCTTACCTCCTGCCCAAGTCTCACTCCACCGCTGACTCACCCTCGTTCACCGTGCCCGGATCCAAGAAGGCCAAAGTGCAGGTATTAATGCACCACAGCTCACTATCTGAGCGAATATATAGAGGTCTAATAGGACTATTTGATTAGCCACATGTACTGAACAAATATCAGAAAAAGTGAAGGACCATTGATCCACATAACTTGAACACAAACAGCAGTCAGCGACGGTGACCTGAAGGAAAATCTAGTGTGGTCGACTTATCAAAGTGATTTTTTTTCTTCTCCTCATAACTCACTGCCATATTCAGTTGTTGGAATAATGTAGTGCTTTTCAGCCTTGACACATACACACAGTCTCTCTTTGACAAAGACTGTTTCCACGAGATGTTAGTGTTACAGGTCCAACCACGGTTAGTAGAGAGAAAGTGAAAAGTCTTTTACACACAAACTGATGACACAGAAAACTACCATAATGTTTAATGTAAGTCTTAAAGAGGTCATTTAAGTCTCATTCTCAGGTGTATATCAGTATGTAGTGTCTCTACATGTCTCCATGCTTTAATGTTCAAAAAGCTCTTTATTTTTCTCATACTGTCTGTGCTGCAGCACCTCTTTTCACCCTCTCTCTGAAACCAGAGCCCAGTCTGCTCTGATTGGTTAGCTGGCCGGCTCTGTTGTGATTGGTCAACCGCTTAGTAATGTCCCGCCCCTTAGCCTATCACGTACTATGTGTTGGAGCGCTAGCCAATGGAAGTACGAATGTTAACATAGAGATGTCCTTATGTCACAGAAGTAAACAAAAGGGTTAGGATTCAATTAAAACGAAAAACACCTCAAAGCACAAGTTTCATACAAGAAACCTCCTGCTGGTAATTTCCCATGTTTTGGAAAGTTGGTGAACTGTATTTACTGTAAACAAACAACACCATTGCCTAGTCCCCTACTTGTTTCCACTGTGTGTTTCTACAGTGCACGACTCTCAGTCCGAACGAGAAGGAAATCACATGGATGGCTTGACAGTGCAACAATGAGACACTGTTCTGGGTTTGAGGTGCAGCTTACAAGTATTCAGAGTTGTCTTTGTGATGGCAGATGGTGGAACAAGAGGAAGAAAATCACTTCCAACATGTTTGTCCTGTTAAGTAAAGCCAGAGAAAACAAATGCACTGCCAAACACAGAGTGGAGGAATCTCATTTACAACAGGCTTCATGGGAACTGGGGTCGTGATGAGAAACGCAACAAAACTGACACGGCTTTCACTCTCACTCTGTGCTATTGTTTGGAAGTGTTTAGAAAGGGAGTATACGGTAACAATAGCTTTTGCTGTGTGTACTTTCTTCTACTGTGGGCGCTGGCCTGTAATCTAATCCTCGTCTCTTATAATGCTGTGACTTCGGGTTTTCCTGATCCCTTGTTCAGGTTGCAGGGACACTTCCTCAGCTGTTGCCACAATCTTTGTTATAGCTGTAGAGCTTGGAGTGTCACAAATGTAAAATAAGTAGTTAAGCAAGAAGAGTATGTCACTGTCTGAATATAAAACAAGAAATAAATCTATTAAAGAAATGTATTAAGTAACTAATACTTTAAGTGTGAATCTATACGCCTACTGCTTGAATCTGCTTTATGGGTTTCACTTTCTTTGGTTCATTTGTACTAAGTAGGTGAATCTATATGTTTAGAAAATAGTGTCATTAGCGTAACTGTATTTTTAAACTAACATTTTCTGCTCGCTCAGATATTATTTCTGCTTTTTTTAACCGTAGTATGTGCTCATGTGTTTCATTGTTGGTGTGTAGGCTACTGCCTGAATATGATTAATGAAAGGCAGGTTTCCTATCAATACCATTTCTGAGCAAAGGACACTTTTTTATCCTAAATATCTTGGTTTCTTCTTTTCTAAGGGTTACATTTTACTGCCTTAATTAATGCACGCAAATTGAAAAAACTTGATTGCTAAAGTTAATTTTGTCACAGGAGAACATGAGTGTGAAAAGAAGATTTAGTTGCTAATCAAAGATTGTATATACTTAAGTAGGTAGATTGATATGTTTGAGTGTTAAACCCCTTTAAAAAATACAAAAGAACATGGACTTATTATTATTTTTTTCTCCAGGTGTTGCGCTCTGCAGACCGGTGGTCTACTGGAATCTGTGAGAACTCGATCCTGAACGCCTACATCCACACCATCGAGAACAGCGAGCACTACATCTACATCGAGGTAAGGAGGAGTGCTTCGGCCAGTATGTACCTTTTATATAATGATAATGTCAATCTATACTTTCATTGATCTGTTTTACACAATTTAAACCTCTAATTCTGATGTTTCAGCATGTGATTCCTTTTGACTTTTATAACCATTTCACCAGTGGCGAACCGTGGCTATCACAACTGGATCTTCTGTAGACACACCCAGCCACCGCCGCCCCCCCCCCTCCGCGGCATTATAATGTCCGTCTTTTCACTGAATTGTCGTCTTGAAAAGGGTACTCACAACAATTCCGCAACAACTTCATCTCCACCTGTTGCACTTGTCATTACAACGTTAAAAACAATAAAACGGCATGAATTGCTTCGTCGCATTCGTTCTAGATCCTCTGTCTCGAACCAGTTAACTAGCGGGCCTTCTAGAATACCCTGGAACCGAGGGGAACTCTGAAAGAATACGCCCATTGGCTACAAATCAATATATGATTGGTTGATCAAACTGTCAGTCCAAACGTACGCTCTCATTCAGTGCAACGGCCAGGGCATTCGATCAAGGATGTAGAATACCTTGGTTGAAGGATATTCTACCCAGAGACCCAGAACAAGATCTGATTGCTTGCTTTCTTTTCTAACACAAAACCACTGAAATGCGTAGTGCATGGTCCGAGAAGCACAAACAAATCAACGTAAAACTGTAATATTACAGATCAACAACACGGATACGATTCTCATTTATTCATTTTATTACATTTTATTTATATAATTAAATCAATTTTTTGTTTGTTTTATCTGAGTGTTCCAGGGTATTCTCTGAATACCTTGAAGGCCCTGACGGTTCGCCACTGCATTTCACCCCTTAACTTCACATATCCCTGAGAGATTTCTTGAGCCAACATGTGTCTAACCACGAGGCCTCATGTTTCTGAATATAACCACAGACCCGTCCTCTGCCAGCTTCCTACCTGTTTTATCCCTCGTCTCACACCGAGCCACCATCTGTCTCCTCTCTGCCCTCAGAACCAGTTCTTCATCAGCTGTGCCGACGGGAAGACCGTCTACAACGGGATCGGGGATGCAATTGTGAAACGAATCCTGCGTGCACACAGGTCTGGTTTGAGTGCATCAACAAGATCTATGTTCATTCATTTTGCATAGATGCTACGTCACTGCCTGGTGAAATGCGGCCCTGCACCCTTTCCTGGGAAAACAAAGAATTGGCACCAAGAAGAAAAATACAAGAGTTGTTTAATGCTGTAGTTCATCACTGTGTGGCACATTTCTGATACCTTGTATACTACTGAGTGGATTAGTAGTATATATATATATATATATATATATATATCATATAAATGCACATTTCATAAAGGTAAAAAGTTCCTAGTAACTACAAGAGTCATTTAAATGTAGTGGAGTAAAATACAATATGTAGATGCTGCATTGAAATATAAAACACTGAGAAGGAAATGCCAGTTTTAAGTGTTAGCCTGACAGGACGTTGATCCTCTATATAGCTTTTAATTTCGCCTTATCATTGAAACAGAGATATGATTGTGATGAATGAGAAACTTGTATTGATGTTTAAATAGTACCATTACTTGTTGGCATTGTGCTTCTCTACAGTGAGCAGAAGAAGTACAGAGTGTTTGTTGTGGTTCCTCTGCTTCCTGGATTCGAGGGAGACATCGCGTCAGGAACCGGAGTTGCGATTCGAGCGATTCTTCACTTCACTTACAGGTGAGAGCCTTCATCTCCTGTCACCAGGCTGCCATTACAGGCCAGAACAAACAACACATTGATAACCAACTTACTATTGTTTGTGTTAATTAACATCTTTGAAATAACTAATGTCCTAGGACCATGTGCCGAGGAGAGCACTCCATACTGTCAAGACTTAGTGAAGGTGAGTTTTCTCTCACTCATTTGCTCTCATTAACAACCAGATATCACAAAATGACCGCCGGTTTCCTCTCTAACATGTTTCTTTCTTTCTCTTCTTATTGCTACTTTAAACTGAAGCTACTTTTACTAGGTATCTTCTCACCAATCTCCATTTGTACCTTTCTTCCTGTCATTCACCTTAAGAATACTGTATGTGTATGTTTCTTGATAAATCTTTACGGTATTTTTCTTTATGTCTCCCAATAACAGTGATGGACCAGTGGACGGAGTACATCTCGTTCTGCGGCCTGAGAACACACTCTCAGCTGTGCGAGTCTCTCGTCACGGAGCTCATCTACGTTCACAGCAAGTTCCTCATAGCCGATGACCGCTGCTACATCATCGGTGAGTCATCAGCCTGGCACAAACTCATCCAAAGACACATTATCATGCTGACCTTGAGTTGTCAGTGAGCTATGAAAACTACAGTGGAATTGTACTTGTACTTTACTTGAGTGTTTCCATGTTCTGCTACTTTGTACTTCTGCTCCACTACAATTCAGAGGTAAATCATGAACTACTCCACTACATTTATTTAATACCTTTAGTTACTTTACAGATTTGTATTAAAGGTCACCTATCATGCTATTTGTAGGCAATAGCATAGGTCTCAGATATATCAAAAATATATCAAAAACATGTCTATGAAGTGTTTTGCTCAAAATACCAAACAGATCACCCATTCTAGCCATGCCTCATATCCCTCTATTTCACTTCCTGTTTCAAAAGTGCTGATTTTGGGTATAAAGCTTTTTAAAAAAAAAAAAAGAATAATAAAAAAAAAAAGAAGGAGGGGGCTGAGCTCATGCGGGACCCGGCAGCTACTGTCTAAACTAAATACTGCCGTGATGAAACGCCATATCATGGATTATCAAGGATTATCTCTGAAACAGTATGGAGCTCAAAGGCTTTCTCTCTTGCCGGTTATACCGCAAGGTGAGTTCCTTTTTACTTCCTGCTTCTTCACACACATGCTCTCCAGTACAGGTTAGCTCTGAGTGTTAGCGATGCTAATGTAAACACCGACCATATTACGTCCAAAACAGTCGGGCATTGTTTCTGATACCAACGTTTCTGATTGGGCCGTGGGTGTAAAGCCAGCCTACATTTCCGATATTATGTCATATCGGACACAAATCTGGATCAGCTCTGTTGTATCCCCGTTTTAGAGATTTGGGTACGGAGGAAAAAAGAGAGGGTTTTATTTTCTGACGCTGTGTGAGTTCCCTGACACACAGGGGACACATATTGATGCATAAAAGACATCAAAAAGTGCATTTTGCACGATACGTCCCCTTTAATGATGTGAAATATAATCAAGTGTTAAATCAGACTTTAGTTCCACCTGGAGTAAATGCACAAGCTACCCTGCAGTATAAGTCATTCAAACTAGCTGCCTAGCTTTGAGAACACTTTAATGATCAATCATTATAAAACATATCATATATATTATTCTGAAATCTGCAGAATGAGTACTTTTACTTAAGTATATGTTGATACTAATACTTTTCTACTTTTACTTGAGTAACATTTTGAATGCAGAACTTTTACTGTAACAGAGTATTCCTACACTCTGGTACTTCCACGTTTACTCAAGTACAAGATCTGAGTACTTCTTCCACCTCTGCCAAAAAGTATTTACATCTCTATGTAGTAGTTTTCATTTTTTGCAGCGGACTTCGCCACTGTGCTGGGCTCAAATGTCTTTCACGGACCATATCATTTGTCAGCACTGAATTCTGTCAGATTTGATTTCACATCATATAGAGCAGAGGCCTGTAACACTTCATGTCAAATGCATTCCTTGAAAATAAATCAAGATTCAAGGCTTTTATTGTCATGTGTATATTAGCTACATTGTAGATATGTCAAGGAAAATCTTAGGTCACAGGCTCCTCCAACAGTGCAACACAATAAAACAGATACAATAGTGCAAGTAAATACAAATAAAATAAAATAGAATAGAAGTAGTGCAAGGAGAGTCTATATACAAGTAATTGGAAATATACAGATTACACTGTACTGACCAGGAAATTAACTAAAATGAAGCACACTATTGATGTTATTGTTTATCCAGTTCTTGCTTCATGCGCTGACTGCTGGCTTGTTCAGGGATGCTTCTAAAAAAACAGATTTGTATTGCTCATTACTTTCCACACGCCTTTCAGGATCAGCCAACATCAACGACCGCAGCATGCTGGGCAGCAGAGACAGTGAGATGGCGGTGTTTGTGGAGGATGAGGAGCGGGTCCCCTCCACCATGGGGGGGCAGGAGTACCAGGCCGGACCCCTCACACTCGCTTTGCGAAAAGAGTGTTTCAGGTCAGGACCTAATGTGTAGACTCTGAAATAACATTGTTTCAAGATTCTAGGCTTTTATTGATATTCTTTGATGATTTATTTGTACATAGCTACAGTGTAGATATGTCAATGAAAATCTTAGGTTACAGGCTCCTCCATCAGTGCAACATAATATAATAAAACAGACAAAATAGTTAAAATAAAAACAAATAGAATATAAATAGTTCAAGGAGAGTATACAAGTCATTGGAATATGATTTATTAGATAAATAATGTAAGTTGCAAACAGATGAATGTTATGGATGTCCTTTCCATTGTGGGAATGCATGACAACAAACATGGTGACCTGATACAGTTTAAAAAGGATCAATGGAGCATTATTTACTTAAATGGCACCCTTCATGCAATGATGACCCCCAAAGTGCAACAATATATACATTTTGAAAGACTCAAAATAAAAAAACGTATAGTGGCGGCCTATTTTCTGTTTTACGACCCCTGAAAGCGTTTACATATACCAGTCAGCATTCACCTATCCACACACATTGCACAAAATGCAAGGAACCACCTGCTTAAGGAAGGAAACTAACATTCACACACCATTTGCCAGGCCATTGGGAGCTTCTCAGGGTTAACTATCTTGCCCATAGATATGTTGACTCCAGGGGCTGGGATCGAACCCACAACCTTCTGATTGTTACACAACCATACTACCATTTTGAGACACACACTGAACCTCTGAGTTATCTGAATATACTGTACCTGCTGAATATTTGGCTGTTATTCATTTTCCCGTATAGAGTTCTTGTCGGAGCTTCTTCAGACCCCAGTGTCAATATTGACGATCCCATCAGCGATGAGTTCTTCTTCCTGGGCTGGAACGAACCAGCTAAACTGAACGCTGAGATTTATGAAAAGGTATACATTTAATAAATGACGGTGTTAGTCCTGTAGCTGATTTTCTTACCTTACTTATATATAAATAAGGTAATATACAGTATATTATATTTGATATCATATTTTGTATTTGTTATTGTTATTTTCTCTATCCTAAGTATTTGTATTTTAATGTCTGAACACACTACTGCTTTTGTAACATCTATCTATCTATCTATCTATCTATCTATCTATCTATCTATCCAACCCTTTGTTCTCATTGGCTTGTCTACATCAGGTCTTCAAATGTCTGCCCAACAACTCGGTCCACAACATGCGAGAGTTGAAGGAATACTCTGCCCACGAGCGTCTGTGCGACTCTGACCCTGAGCAGGCAAGAGAGGAGCTGAAGGCTGTGCGAGGGTTGCTGGTTCACTTCCCCCAGAAGTTCCTGTGTGAGGAGGACCTGTTGCCTCCGATGAACACTAAAGAAGGCATGGCTCCTGTCGGTCTGTGGACATAACTCAGCTCAGACCACTACGTTACATCTCCACTGGCTTCAGATGATCCTCCTCATAGTTTCTAATGGTCAGCACAGTTCACTAAAGTAGTTACAGTACAGCACTGGCACTTCAGTGGTGAGGATGGAGAAATCACATCAAAATAATGTGTTGGTGCATCATTGATGTTTTTATTTTCATTTAAACTGACAATGAACATAACCACTGAAAATTAGATTTGATCATGATTTAGAACAAGGCAAGGGCTTTTTCTGGTTTTCCCTTTCCTGTAGTGTGTTATATAGGTTTATGTGAATGTAAATGGTGTACTAAGGATACATTCCCTCTAAAAGTTCAACCTGGAGGGACTTTTTCACCCACCCATCGACCGGAAATGACGCTATTGGGGTCCTGCTGTAAAAGAATGACATCACTATGTAATACTTGCGCTTCCATTGGCTCCCCATTGGTATGTGATAGGCTAAGGGGCGGGACATCCCTAAGTGGTTGACCAATCACAACAGAGCCAGCCAGCTAGCCAATCAGAGCAGACTGGGCTCTGGTTTCAGACAGAGGGTGAAAAGAGGTGCTGCAGCACAAGCCGTATGAGAAAAAAAAAGAAGACCTTTTTGAATATTAAAGCATGGAGACATGTCACAGTAGAGACAATACATACTAATATTAACCTGAATTTGAGCATAATAGGGCCCCTTTAAAAATCAAGCTTAAATAGGCAAAAATAAAAGTCTTCAGGCTGGATTTCAAAGTAGTGAGAATTGCGTTGTTTGTTCCACATATATGTAGCATTTCTGGTTACAGGAGGTTGAGCTGAGTTGTTTTTACATTACATTACATGTCACTTGTTAGACGCTTTTCTCCAAAGCGACTCACATACTCAGTACTGTGGGCAATCCCCACAGGAGCAATTTGGGGTGAAGTGTCTCAGGGACACAACGACATGCTGACTGCAGTGGGATTCGAACTTGCTATCCTCTGATTCGAAGATCAGCGCATTAATCCACTGAGCCACAGCCTCCCCCGTTTCATTCTGCTGCTCAATATGAGCGGTGGTGTTGAACGCAAATGAATGTATGAGTCAGGAGAGGATGGCGAGTTGGTATTGGAAATCAACACATGATCTGGGAACATAGTGTACAGTTATTGGTGCAAGGTTTTTAGATGGGTGGGTGGGTGGCTTCCGTCTCCGTCTCTGTTCGCTCTCACTCTCTCTTCCTCCGAGGCTTCACCTCTCTCTGCAGTGCCAGCAAATCTGTCAGAACATTTGTGGTTGTTATGGTGACGGATATAAAGGGATGACTGGATTGTATCTGAAATAAGAAAGACTGAATAGGGCAGGAAAGGGAGAGAGCACCTAAAAAAAAATGGGGCTAAATCGGGATAGAGTACGGGAAAAATAGAAAGGTAATATGCAGAGAAAAAGGAGGACTGACCATTTTCTGTGCAGATTTCATATTTCTGGATCAGTGATCAGGTGACGTCTGTGAGAGGAGGAGAAAAAAGGAGGACAAGATAATTGAAGGGTGTTAGGTTGATTTACCGCAAATTGTTGCAGGTTTTTAAGTCACCATGACAACCAAAGTGAGTTATAATTCCACCATGTGCTCAGCAGAACAGAACAAATCATTCCTCTTCAGCTATTTCCGTCACCGCTCGACAATTACGTGTCCAGGTGCCATACAATGTCCTGCATAACTTCCCTTTACTCATTTTCATCCTACCAGGCTTTCATTTAGAGCACTGTAACTTAGTGGTGACATAACTTGGCTTACAAGTCCTTTTTAGTCACAAATATGTTTTTTAAATATATATAAAATGACATCCTTGTTTTGCTGAAAACCAGCAAATCCCATTTCCTGAGCCATGAAGAACTGAGTACAATTGAGCAAGCCTTGCACTGGACAAATAGGAAGCATCCCTCTTTTGTGAAGTGTATCCGAAGTCTTATGTAATAATTTAGCAGACTGTATTGTAAGTCCTGCCTTCCTCGTGCATTTCCATAGCTGTAAGACACAAAAGGAGTTCGACCAAGGTGAAGGAGAGAAAAACACGTTGAAGATTCCTCACATAGCACACATTCTTGCCAAGTTTAATGACACATATGCAAAGCACCATTATCATGTCCTGTTTCTTTTCAAGAGTACAACCTGCAGAGGGACAGACACCTTGTCCTTTGTATTTTTAAAAGACCTGTATGCGATGGATTGAAGTCCATCAAAAGTAGAAAATTGCTGAGCCTGTGACACAACACTACCAAGTCGGTATCAGTGCAATCTAACAGATGACAAGTTTCCCACATCGACGCTGCTCTGCCTCTACATGAACCACCTTTCACAGACGAGCTAAGAAATTCAGCATTTTGCCTTCAGATTAATTCACCTTTTTCTTTGGAAGATTTTAAAATGCTACTAGCCTTTGCACACTAAGCGCTGGGTTGTTACCTTAATCTCCTGTAAAGCACAAAATGGTTGCCCTAATACTGTTTCTATCATGCATTTTATTTTTATCTGACAGTCAGCATTTCTAATACATTTTTATGAATATACTAATACCAACACATGTGTGTGTGTTAACTCATCACTTTTAATCTTAAATCACCATGTTAAAACCTTGTGTATGCAAATGTGTACATCTGGGATATTACCGTAGAGTTGCTGATGTATAACTAACGCTCAGAAGTAGAGAGATAATAAACATGCTTACTTAATCACTTAAGTGCAGTTAACAATAACTTTGAGGTATTATACTTCTCTTGTTTCCTCAATAAACTTGTTTTATATGGAATTTACAAGTGAATATCCTTGACTTTGATTCGTACATTGCAAACTTCCTGTGTAATATTTTATGAGAATATATGGTATATTTTTAACACTTCTAACTAAATATTTAAACATGTTCAAAAATATCTAAATGTAAAAAATAATCATACACTTCATGTGATGACACGTTTTCTTTTACAAGGAGAACTGTGTTATTCAGCGTATAATAGACACATATTTAATAAGTGTGTGTTTACAAAAAATACCTTCCAAAACTACTAAGTATATACAAATATATATATGTATTTTTTTCTTTTTAATACATATAATGTACTTGTGGGATAATATCCTCTGTGGAACACTGTTATTTGAAACCAATTACAGTCAAATACAGTAACATGTATCTGTGTATTCCTGGGTCAAATAAATTATTTGAATTTACAACAATTTAGAGACAGAGTGGACACATATTAGAAAAGTTCTTATAGGAATTGGGTGCTATTCAACACGCAACAAAAATAAATGGTAGATACATGTTCTACCTGAATGCTTACATCTTTAATAAAGCACCAATATAAGGCTATTGTCATATCACAGCCTCAATCTTTATAACTTTATTTGATGGAAATCTTTGTAAACAAATGATATATTATTCAGTAGTGTGCCAGACACATAGGAACAAGAAAAATGGCTATTTCTAAATGTAACATGCAAAAAAATTAAGTTTAACTATATTATCTACCTGAAGGATTAAACCTTCAATAAAGCATCAATACAAGGTTATTGCCATCTCACTGCCTCAATTGTTAAACCCTTATACTTTACTCTACATTTGGACATCTTTGTAAACAAATGATATATTATTCCCACACATCCGAGCAAAATTAGGAAAAGGAAAATGTGTTATTTAAAATGAAAAAAGAAACATTTATGAATGACCTATTTCTATGTTTCTTTGTGAGTTATCTATAATAATTGTATGTATTTGTACTTATTCCTGAGCTTTGTGCAGTGGCAGGTCAGTGCAGGACAGCTTCGTCCATGTGCAGCTCGGTGCAGACAGAGGCATTGCGTAGGTTGAGGTCCACTGTCATTTCCCAGGTAATTTGTCCCTGGTGAAGCACCGTAGCTCTGCAAAAGGAGCAAACACTTGAGGAGTGTTTTGTGCAGCCAATCGTCAGTACAAGCCCGCAAGACTACAACAAGGCTTGGAGTGGGAGGGAGGACTCGGGCGGCAAAACATGGCGAAATAACAAGTTTTACTGTTGGCTGCTTTTGGGAAATTGCACCGTCACTATCGTGTTGGACTTCGGCGACGGGTTCATAACATTTGGAGGCTGGAGGACGAGAGCAACGCGTAACTTTAGAGAGTCGAGGGCCCCAGTTTACAAGTATTACGGTGGCTGCTGGCGAGAAAAATAGTGCCTGCCTGTCTGCCTGTGTTTCTCCGGAAGGTTGGCAGTGCTAGGCGCGACTGTCAACACAGAAAATGGATGAAGGAGGAAAGTTTATACTGGAAAACACCATAGATTGTACTCGGTAGATTGATTGCACGCACCTGACTCGAGAGAATATTTAAGTCGTGTTAACAAGTTTGGCAACTGCAGTCGTATATACAACTAGGCCATTGTTTTTTTATTTTTCCCGCAGTTGTGTTAATATTCAGGGAGGACATCTCTTTAAGGCTTGACGGCCGGTTCTGGTGCGGACGGACCCGGACGCCATCACATGAGACGCTGCGTTTCTCCTTAAAAAAACAACCACTGCGCTGCTCTGGTTCATTTTCTACTTTAGCAACGAAACAAGGACTGTTTTCAATTGCACACCAGATCTGTGTGGTAGTTTCTTTTTCTCCGTGAATCGTTTTTGTATCTGCATGTTGTACAGCAGCAGAGACGTCTTGTCAAAATGAACGCAGCAAGGTGTTCAACAACAGTGGAGGTGCATTGCATTGAAACCCTGCCCGTTGGTAGTAGAACGGTACCGTTGGCCGGCTAACTGACGCTAACAGTTTCTTGAAATACCTTTTTTTTTTTTAAAGTCAAATGTGTTTTGACCAGACATTGAAACCGGCTTTTTCCAACAACACTGGTTAACATTGTAGCTCGAGTTGACGTGAGCTAGCCCGTTGGGTGCGTCTGTGACGGCTCTATCTGCGATGTGTTTGCTAATCTAAGTGCTACCGTGTTGTTCCGCAACAGTTTAACAGATTGCCCAGCCCGTTTGCTTAATTTAATCCATAGATAAGCTCTCTCAAGATCGCTTTAGCAGCCGCTTCACATTTCCACAAGTACGTCTTGTCAAATAAGTGGCTAACTTGGTAGCTAAGGTCCTAAGTTTCGCCAGCCATGTCTGAAAACGCCCCCACACGAAGCCTGGATGACATAGACCTCGCAGCTCTGAGGGTGAGTATTGTTATTATAAGACAAGTGTGCTGCACTTTATTCATGTACAATTATGGCTGACGTTATGTCATATGAACTGAAGTGTGTGCTTTCCTCTGACACAAGCACGACCATTCAACACCCACGTTACAAAGTTAAGGTGGATAAACATCCCCTGGCCCTGTGTTGCTACAGGCAGCTGTCATGTCTACGTGAATTGTCTAGCAACACATTTTTACACACTGCTATATTCATGTTTCTTTATGCTGTGTTTTCCTGTTTTCAAATTTGCCATTGAAATGATAAAATCTGAGATTGTAGGCATAATCACAATCTGTTTTTGTTGTGGTTTATTATTGTTTTGGAGGGTCTTGACTCTTTTCCCTAGGTGGGCCCAAGTTGAATGGCAAATCCTCCAACCATACTCTTGTTGATTTTGGTTTTGTATTGCTACTATATTTCTAATAAAACTAGTTCTGTATCAAAGTTGTTAGGGATAGACCAACACTACATCTTAGTGGTATTTTTAGTGATCCATCCTCCCCTCATAAATCACCCTGGCTGTTTGGACCCCCCTCATCTAACATCACAACCACTTTGCTAAAATATGGTCACCTAATGCCTTTTGTAAGAAAAATGCAACCTTAGTTTATTGTCAATTCTGCCATATGTATGGGACAAATAGACGATGGAAATTATATTCACGATAGCCCCTTTCGATGCATCTCCAATGTTAAGTCTCACGTGTGTATAATGTGTTGCATCAATAAATCCCCTTATGACAAACCCTTAGCATTATAAAGCTGTCGATTATGCATTCAGTCACAGCTTTTTAAAATATAGATAACAGCCCCCCTGTCTCCCCACTGAGGTATTAAAGAGATACATAGCTTTCACTTTTAGGATTAGATTTCAGTTTTAATCTATGTCTACGGTTAACATGACCAAAGGTTCACTGAGGTTTTTTGATTGATTTTAAAAATGAAAAAATCTGAGCATACAAGCTATTTGAAAATATAACCAAGAGGAGAAGTCATCTTATATGTCCCCATATGCCCATATCTGAAAACTCTGGTACTTTAGTGGAGCTTTCCCAGATCAGTGGTAGTTTATCCAAATCCTGGTTTGCTTGGTCTCTTGTTATCTCTTTCTCTGACTGTATTGTAGAGCTCACCTGATCATCCACAGCTTCCAACATCCTGGCAAATTGTTAAAACTGACCCATCTCTTTATTATACATCTGTAAAAAAACCGTTACAATCACATTATAATCAACAGAAGTGTTTTTTATGGGTATTTTGGCCCAAATTAGATGAATTTCTTTCTGAAAATCACACTAAAATGTGTGATCTGATTTGGTTAAGTACACTGGATGAATGTTTTAATATCCTGACTGGTTTTTAGGATGGTGAGCTGACCATTTGGTGTGTATTGTTATCGTTTACTTTTGAGTTTCAACAGTGTAAAGGACATCTCTTAACCCCCAGTGTATTGGCAGAAACTTCAACAACAAAATCTGCACGACTTTCTAACACTAGATAATAACTTTAACAGTTTTAAACATAATTGTGCTGAATGTGTCACAGATTATTTCCTGTTGCAGTGTTTGTGAATGACACTAGCTGACAGGAAGTAGTCATGGCCCCAAGCTGTTTCCTAGCAATGCAAATTGGATACAACTTGTGAATCTCTTTGGGTGAACTAATCCTTTAGAGATGCCCTGCGGAGTTTTCTTGCAAACAAACGAATGTTATTTTTATAATCAGTATTCATCACCAAAAGGCATTGTGTGAATCCTTGAGCTCCAACCAGTGTGTTCAATGTGTTTCCTTCATCTTAAAAAATCTGCCAAGACAATTACTATTCTAGCATTTCAAATATCGTGTAGTTTAGCTCGCGGACCTCTTTTTTGTTGGCGCATTGCAGCATATTTTGGGTGTTATTGCCACCTGTTGACTACGGGAATAGAGTGAGTCCACTGGCAGGACGGTGTTGTACGACACCCGGGCGAGGAGCATGAGATAAACAAAACTTTGACACACAGGAAAACGGCTACATAGGGCTACTAGAGGAAAACAACTTCACAGGGAAACTTTAAGCCGCTCAATTTGAGTTTTTCTATACATTTGCTGCAATGTAAAGAAGGACATTGCATAATGACCGTAAACAGACATAATTCAAATAAAAAAATGATCTAACGTCAATAGCACTCGATATAATCAAGCTACCTGCACGGTTATTTCATTTACAGCTGGCATAATGCGGTCATAGTCCAACAAAAATATCTGTTGAACTTCACCTGCTTTGTTGTTGATTTGAAATTCACTTCTTTGCTTATATTCAGTTTCAAACAGGAGCTTAGATATTGTGTAGTGAGGATATTGGATTGGGATTACCAAGGAGTACCAGCCCTCTGGAAATGAACCTCATGAGAGATTTTTGTCTTGTGATTTTTCTTTTTTTGGGCTCGTTAAAACAGTCCATGTGTTTGGCAAAAATAACATTACATACGAGTGAGGAAAAAGGACTGCTTCGATATGACAGAATACAAGCTCCTGGTTTGGCGCTTATGTAATTGCTAGTAAAAATACAACATGTCAGATATTAAATAGTTTCAAATATCAGCTACAACGTCACGCCTTTTG